CTGATGTACCCACACACCACACTCACACCTCACACCTGATGTACCCACACACCACACTCACACCTCACACCTGATGTACCCACACACCACACTCACACCTCACACATGATGTACCCACACACCACACTCACACCTCACACCTGATGTACCCACACACTACACTCACACCTGATGTACCCACACACTACACTCACACCTCACACCTGATGTACCCACACACTACACTCACACCTCACACCTGATGTACCCACACACTACACTCACACCTCACACCTGATGTACCCACACACTACACTCACACCTCACACCTGATGTACCCACACACTACACTCACACCTCACACCTGATGTACCCACACACTACACTCACACCTCACACCTGATGTACCACACACACACCTCACACCTGATGTACCCACACACTCACACTCACACCTGATGTACCCACACACCACACTCACACCTCACACCTGATGTACCCACACACTACACTCACACCTCACTCCTGACGTACTAACACCACACTCACACCTCACACCTGACGTACCCACACACTGCACTCACACCTCACACCTGACGTACTAACACCACACTCACACCTCACACCTGACGTACTAACACCACACTCACACCTCACACCTGACGTACCCACACACTGCACTCACACCTCACACCTGACGTACCCACACACTACACTCACACCTCACACCTGACGTACTAACACCACACTCACACCTCACACCTGACGTACTAACACTACACTCACACCTCACACCTGACGTACTAACACTACACTCACACCTCACACCTGACGTACTAACACTACACTCACACCTCACACCTGACGTACTAACACCACACTCACACCTCACACCTGACGTACTAACACCACACTCACACCTCACACCTGACGTACTAACACCACACTCACACCTCACACCTGACGTACTAACACTACACTCACACCTCACACCTGACGTACTAACACCACACTCACACCTCACACCTGACGTACTAACACTACACTCACACCTCACACCTGACGTACTAACACCACACTCACACCTCACACCTGACGTACTAACACTACACTCACACCTCACACCTGACGTACTAACACCACACTCACACCTCACACCTGACGTACTAACACCACACTCACACCTCACACCTGACGTACTAACACCACACTCACACCTCACATCTGACGTACTAACACCACACTCACACCTCACACCTGACGTACTAACACCACACGTCACATTACACGTCAGGCGCCACACCTTGTGGCGCCTGACAGCTGGGTGGACAGCGCTTCAGATTCGTAGTCCTGCGGTCCCGGGTTCGATCCCCGGTGGAGGTGGAGACAAATGGGCAAAACGTTTCTTTCACCCTGATGCCCCCTGTTACCTAACAGTAAATAGGTACCTGGGAGTTAAACAGCTTCTACGGGTTACTTCCTGGGGGAGTGTAACACAAAGGAGGCCTGATTGAGGACCGGGCCGCGGGGACGCTAAGCCCCGAAATCATCTCAGGATAACCTCAAGATAACCTTAACCCTGGTTGATACCTGGTTGATGGGGTTCTGGGAGTTCTTCTACTCCCCAAGCCCGGCCCGAGGCCAGGCTTGACTTGTGAGAGTTTGGTCCACCAGGCTGTTGCTTGGAGCGGCCCGCAGGCCCACATACCCACCACAGCCCGGTTGGTCCGGCACTCCTTGGAGGAATAAATCTAGTTTCCTCTTGAAAATGTCCACGGTTGTTCCGGCAATATTTCTTATGCTTGCTGGGAGGACGTTGAACAACCGCGGACCTCTGATGTTTATAGAGTGTTCTCTGATTGTGCCTATGGCACCTCTGCTCTTCATTGATTCTATTCTACATTTTCTTCCATATCGTTCACTCCAGTACGTTGTTATTTTACTGTGTAGATTTGGTACTTGGCCCTCCAGTATCTTCCAGGTGTATATTATTTGATATCTCTCTCGTCTTCTTTCTAGTGAGTACAACCCACTCAGAAGACTCTGTTGGTCGGTGTCCAGGACGGTGCAGCATACTTCAGTACTGAACACGTCGCAGAGATTGTCTTCGGTCGTTATTTTGGTTTATAAATGCGGTTAAATGTTGGTAACTTCTCTTATGCTGCTGATGTTATCCCGTTTACATGGCGCGGCAATTATTATTATTCACTCATATCTGCTCCACTTTTATGTCCGTGTAGTTGCCTTCCCTTTATGGTGTAGATGCCTTAAATTACCTTAAATGTCTTTGGGGTAAAGTCTTAAAATAATCGTATCTGCCTACTCCTGGAGTTTGTCACGACCTCTGCCTGTAATTCTATAATTTCTTGTACCTCGCCTCCCTATTCTAGTTCAGCCATACAAAGCAGTTATCACAGAAGCTGACCTTAGAGGACCCAGCTTCCAGCATCGCTGTAATTCGATAATGCCGGTCGGAGCCGGTCGGCCGAGCGGACAGCACGCTGGACTTGTGATCCTGTGGTCCTGGGTTCGATCCCAGGCGCCGGCGTGAAACAATGGGCAGAGTTTCTTTCACCCTATGCTCCTGTTACCTAGCAGTAAAATAGGTACCTGGGTGTTAGTCAGCTGTCACGGGCTGCTTCCTGGGGGTGGAGGCCTGGTCGAGGACCGGGCCGCGGGGACACTAAAAGCCCCGAAATCATCTCAAGATAACCTGAGATGTCTCTCTCACTGTGCGTCTGGCATCCATCCTTCAGGTACTCCCTGACTCCAGTTCAGTTTGGCACCATTCCTTTCCTCCCCCCTCCCCCCGTCCCATCCCAAATCCCTATTCTAACCCCTTCCCAGTGCTATATAGTCGTAATGGCTTGGCGCTTTCCCCCTGATAGTTCCCTCCCTCCCACTTCCAATCCACTTCGCCCTTCCATTTCAAAGTTGATACTCTCCAGGTGCAACAATTACGGAAGTAAGGGCTCACAAATATTCGCGTTTTCTATGCATCGGACTCAATAGATTAGTTGGGGTGGCTTGGGTTCATACGTTCAGGTTAGAATAAAAGGTTGGATATTTTACGGAGTGGAGAACGAACTAAAATGGAAACGTGGCAACACTGTTTGCTCTCTAGTTGTCTACGTCATCCCCAGGTTCTGCTCTCTAGTTGTCTACGTCATCCCCAGGTTCTGCTCTCTAGTTGTCTACGTCATCCCCAGGTTCTGCTCTCTAGTTGTCTACGTCATCCCCAGGTTCTGCTCTCTAGTTGTCTACGTCATCCCCAGGTTCTGCTCTCTAGTTGTCTACGTCATCCCCAGGTTCTGCTCTCTAGTTGTCTACGTCATCCCCAGGTTCTCACTGTCCCATCCTTTCCCACTTATCTACTATCTCCCTTTCCCACAATGCCCCCCCCCCCTTCCTCTCCTCTACCCCGTGTCTCTTTAGTCCTTTTTCTTCCCACTTTCACAATTACTTGTCTATTCACTTCTCTCAGCTGCTCGGTTCAATCTTTCTCCTCTTTTCTATCTAAGATGGAAGGTTCTATTCCTTCAATCTTTCCACTGTTCTCTTCCACCTTCCCTCTCTTCCTCTGCCTCACCTTCCCCCTCCCCCCGTGTGTCAGAGTGGCGTCCCTGTGTGCTGTGAGCAGGAAGACGAGACGGCGGCGGAAATGAGTGTGGGAAGGAAGCAGGAAGGAGGAGGAGGCTGACAAGGAGGAGTGTGAGGAGGCTGACAGGAGTCTTGAGGCAAGAGGATGGTTATTTTGAGATGATTTCGGGGCTTAGCGTCCCCGCGGCCCAGTCCTCGACCAGGCCTCCTTTTTGTTACACACCCCCAGGAAGCAGCTCATAGCAGCTGTCTAGCTCCCAGGTACCTATTTACTGCTAGGTAACAGGGGCATCAGGGTGAAAGAAGCTGTTTGCCCGTTTGTCTCCGCCTCCACCGGGGATCGAACCTGGAACCTCAGGACTTCGAATCCGAAGCGCTGTCCACTCAGCTGTCAGGCGCCCTAGAGGGAACCATTGCACAGACTTGCCAATCTTGTGCAATGTCTCCTGCTTGTGTGCGCGTGAGCGCCTGTGCGTGCATGCTTACTCACCAAATTATTCTCACCTAGTTGTGGTTGCGGCGGTTGAGCTCTGGCTCTTTGGTCCCGCCTCTCAACGGTCAATCAACTGGTGTACAGATTCCTGAGCCCATTGGGCTCTATCATATCTACATTTGAAACTAAGTATGAAGTCAGCCTCCAGTCAGGGAGCCGATCGGCCGAGCGGACAGCACGCTGGACTTGTGATCCTGTGGTCCCGGGTTCGATCCCGGGCGCCGGCGAGAAACAATGGGCAGAGTTTCTTTCACCCTATGCTCCTGTTACCTAGCAGTAAAATAGGTACCTGGGTGTTAGTCAGCTGTCACGGGCTGCTTCCTAGGGGTGGAGGCCTGGTCGAGGACCGGGCAGCGGGGACATTAAAGCCCCGAAATCATCTGAAGATAACCTCAAGAAGATAACACCACATCACTACCTAATGCATTCCACCTGTTAACTACTCTGACACTGAAAAAGTTCTTTCTAACGTCTCTGTGGCTCATTTGGGTACTCAGTCTCCACCTGTGTCCCCTTGTTCATGTCCCACCCGTGGTATCTGTCAGTGTCTGTGGTGGAGTGAGATGAGGGTCCTGGTGCCCGCGCCTGGCACCTCTCCCGGTACCTGTTGCACTCTAATTTAACTTTGCTAATGTGGGTTAAGTTCTATGTGGATCTGGCCTTAATGTTTTGGGTGGAGGTGACTTCCACAAGTAACAGTACTTTCATCTTGTTGACCACGAATATAGAGCAGGAGTATTTTTTCCTCACATTCCTTCGACTCATTTGAGTTTCCAGCTTCCAAATGTGTCCTCTTGTTCTTCTTTCTCTCAATTTGAAGAGGCTATCCTTGTTGATCTTATTTATTCCCCTCAGTATGTTGTATGTTGGGATCATATCTTCCTCCGTTCCTTCTATCCTCTACTGTGGTGAGATTCAGTTCCATTACCCTATCTTCGTAGCTTAACCCTCTCAGCTCTGGTGCCAATCTCGTGGCAAACCTTTCTACATTTTCCATTTTGACTTTGCTTCACAAGGTGCAGATTCCATGCCGGTGCTGCATATTACAGTATTGGTATGACAAATGTTGTGTAGATTGTCTTAAAGGAGTCCTGGTTTTGGTTTCTGTACGAAGTTCTATTATTTGTTTATTCAAGCTTATTTTCATTTGTATTACGTAGCCCCAACAGCGAGGTGATTCACGTAGCCCCGACAGCGAGGTGATTCACGTAGCCCCAACAGCGAGGTGATTCACGTAGCCCCAACAGCGAGGTGATTCACGTAGCCCCAACAGCGAGGTGATTCACGTAGCCCCAACAGCGAGGTGATTCACATAGCCCCAACAGCGAGGTGATTCACGTAGCCCCAACAGCGAGGTGATTCACGTAGCCCCAACAGCGAGGTGATTCACGTAGCCCCAACAGCGAGGTGATTCACGTAGCCCCAACAGCGAGGTGATTCACGTAGCCCCAACAGCGAGGTGATTCACGTAGCCCCAACAGCGAGGTGATTCACGTAGCCCCAACAGCGAGGTGATTCACGTAGCCCCAACAGCGAGGTGATTCACGTAGCCCCAACAGCGAGGTGATTCACATAGCCCCAACAGCGAGGTGATTCACGTAGCCCCAACAGCGAGGTGATTCACGTAGCCCCAACAGCGAGGTGATTCACGTAGCCCCAACAGCGAGGTGATTCACGTAGCCCCAACAGCGAGGTGATTCACGTAGCCCCAACAGCGAGGTGATTCACGTAGCCCCAACAGCGAGGTGATTCACGTAGCCCCAACAGCGAGGTGATTCACGTAGCCCCAACAGCGAGGTGATTCACGTAGCCCCAACAGCGAGGTGATTCACGTAGCCCCAACAGCGAGGTGATTCACGTAGCCCCAACAGCGAGGTGATTCACGTAGCCCCAACAGCGAGGTGATTCACGTAGCCCCAACAGCGAGGTGATTCACGTAGCCCCAACAGCGAGGTGATTCACGTAGCCCCAACAGCGAGGTGATTCACGTAGCCCCAACAGCGAGGTGATTCACGTAGCCCCAACAGCGAGGTGATTCACGTAGCCCCAACAGCGAGGTGATTCACGTAGCCCCAACAGCGAGGTGATTCACGTAGCCCCAACAGCGAGGTGATTCACGTAGCCCCAACAGCGAGGTGATTCGATGAAATGTCTGAACCCTAAAATTGAGCACCGAGTGCTGTCAGGGGTTAGGTTAAGGGTCTCATGACTTCCAACTTTTTTGTACAGTCAGTGTGGTCTAGCGGTATAGTACTGGATTCGCTAAGGTGCATGGACCCTGGCTGTCTGGGTTCGAACCCTTCAGGGTGGATTCGTTTTCAGTTTATATAAGGTTTTGTAGTTTATATAAGGTTGCGTTTTGTAAGGATTTCTCACATTTTCAAAGACAGGTTTTTACACACATCATTTCATGCTTATATTTGTTTTGGGGTGAGGTGATATGTGCATATGCTGAGGCCGAGACTCCAGACATCATTGGCGAAACGAAACCATTAGTATATTGCATATTTGCTGTTTCAATATTGCTCTTGCTGCTTCTATGTTGGTTCGGGTTCTTGAAGTGGGTAGAACATATTTATGTGTTAATTGGCTGTTGATTGCTGGTGTTGACTTTTTGATGTGTAGTGCCTCGCTGATGTCCAGTCTCCTGCTATCGCTGTGTCTATCGATGATTTCTGTGTTGCTTGTTAATAAGATTTCTCTGGTGATGGTCTGGTTGTGAGAAGAGATTATATGTTCCTTGATGAAGCCCTGTTGTTTGTTTTGCACGAAGTTAATTTTACAGTTTATATGGCTGGCGCTAAGAGTTGCTTTTCGGCGATCCTGTCAACATTTTCAGAGGCAAAGGTGAAATGGATTCAAACCAGCTGATTGATTAAGATCAAGCCAACCAGGAGATGGCACGGGCATGAATAGCCCGTAAGGGGTAGAGTTTAATTTTTTATTTGTAGTGAATGTTTACTGTGTGCTGAGGTCGCATTTAAATCGTTAGGCTGCTATCGCGGGGGAGGATACTGCTTGATAGAATTTATGAGAGTCTCCAGCTGCTGGACACCTTTTTTGACCAGAAGAGTGGCAGTGTTGATGGCTTCAGGGTGGTTACTGCAAGAGTCAGGGATTCTTAAAGCTCTTCTAAGGTCGTTGGTTGCTTGACATTCCAGGAGATAGTGTAGTGGCTTTTTTGTGACTGTTTGGCAGAAGATGAATTCCTTCTGTCGGGGTTCACCAAACTCCCAGTTGCATCTGTCACCTAGACGTACTCTATATAACCGAACTGCTATTTCCCTGTGGATTCCTTTTGGGATATTTAACCTTTTTAACTTGGTGGCCTTTAACTTTTTAGATTAAAAGATTTATTTTAATTTATTTAGATTAATTTATAAGATTAATATTAATTTTTAACAAGTTAAAAATATTTAACATTTTAACTTGGAAGATACCATATTGCAGAGGACGAACCTTCTGCTACTCTCTGGTGTAGATGTTCTTTCTTGAGGTGTGTGAGGTTTTTTATGTTCTCTTGGCTGAGTAGAATTGTTTAATGTGTCACTGGATGACGAGTTGCCAATTCAGCAATTTCATCGGCTTTTCATTTAATGGGATTCCAACATAGGATGGGTTCCAGTTTAGGATTATGTTGAGTATTTTGCCTTTAGCTACTGCTGCAAGGTACAAAATGGTGGTAATTATTTTCACGTTGTCTTTCCACTGCTTTTTTTTTTCCTAATATTTGAAGTGCAGCTTTTCAGTCTGTGTGTATGATTGCATTTTGAGTGTTTTGTGCAATCACATATGCGGATGCTTGTTGTATGGCAAACAGCTCAGTTTGGGTTGATGATACTAGTCCTCCCAGTCTCCAATATGCTTGTTAACTGTCCGTGCAAAGAGCAGCGCCAGCACTCTCCTTTTCTGTGTCCACCGATCCGTCTGTGAAGAAGTAGTTGGCTCCTGCTACTGCAATGCTGCTCATTTGCTTTTCTATGATGCGCCATAGGATTGTTGGATCAGGCAGTCTTTTTCATCGGAAGACTTTCTATTACTATTATGAAGGTAGGCTCCTCCCACGGTATGGAGCAAGTGTAGTTTGGGTGTGGTTGATCACCTCCTCTATCAAGGTTCATGCGTTTTAATTGTTGTCTGTTTAGGACTTTTGTAGCTCTGGCAGCGTAAGAGTTTCCGTTGTTTTTGGCCAAGTCCAACCATTATGGTCTGTCGTACCGGGCTGGATCAGGAGGAAATAATTACCTTACTGATAATTGTAGCTGTTCTTTGCGATATTCTTTCTTGTAGAGAGGACAAACCTATTTCCAGTCTTAGAGTTTCAAGCCTGATTCACATAGGGGCTTCCAGGGCACCTCTCATAGCATTGTTTTGGGCAACTTCAAGCTTTTTCCACTGTTAGTGTGATAGGCTTGTGAGTGCAGGTGCGGTATAGTCGATCACTGATCTGACTGCCTGTACATAGTATGTGCGAAGGACTTGCAGATTGGCTCCTCCAGAGATGGAGGTTAGCGACCTGAGGATTGCCGTCCGGGCCGCAGTTCTCTCTCTCTCAGGTAAGTGACCTCTGCATTAATTTTTATGTGTGTGTCCAGGATTATTCCTAGATACTGATATGTGTCCATCTGTTCAATTGGTTGACCCGGTACTGTGAGTTGGTTGTTGGGCTTCACTATTTTTATGGGCATGGCTTTTGTCTTTGTGGGGTTGAGTTTTATACCATTCTGCTTAGCCTCTTCACTGATGCAGTCTAGGCATTTGGGTGCAAGGCGCGCTACATCCTTTTCTTTTATGATGATGACAAAGTCGTCCACAAAGTTTAGCAGCCTGCAGTGATGTGGGAGTTTCAGCCTCAATATTCTTTCCATTAAACAGTTCAAGAGCAGGGGGCTGAGAATGCCTCCTTGCGGTGTACCATCTTCATGTTTTTTTTATTCAAAGACTGTGCCATGAAGTTTCACTCTTGCTTCTCTGTTTATGAGACAGTTTTTGGTCCAGGAGAGCAGGTTTCCTTTGACCTCTTTGTCAATGAGGCAGCAGAGAATAGCTGGGGCGCTCACCAGTTCAAAGACTTCCTCGAGGTCCAGGAATATCAGTATTCCTGGTCTGTCATTCAAGTGGGCTGAGTGGTAATACATTCCACTGTGCCAACCCCTCTTCTATAGGCATGCATGTCTTGGTGCAGTTTAGGCATTTTCCACTCAAGTCTGTTGAGTGCCATTCAGTCAGCTGTCTTGGCTGCACAGCTTTAGAGAGAGATGGGCCTTGGATTAGCTGGATCTTTGGGTTTTGGGATTGGGACTATGTCTACCCTATTCCAAGCTGTAGGTCTAGTTTGAGAAGTCAAGGCTAAATTAATTAACTATAGGTATGCAGCGTCTCCCTCTGAGCCGAGGTTTCTAATCATTGTATAGATTATATTTTCGTCTCCAGGGGATGTATCTTTTGAGTTTTTCTTAGCCCGATTCGGCTCAGCCTGTGTCAAAGGGGCATTAGTGTCAGAGACTTCTTCACATGCTGTAAGGATTCTGTGCCACCTTTCTTCCTCTAATCCTGCCTGCACTGCTAATACATCTGGTGGAAGCTGATTACTGGCTGCTCTTTCTGCAAACCTGGTTGTCAGTACTTCGGCTTCCTGATGCGGATCCTTAGGGTGTCAAACCAGCTGAGGTGAAGGAATATATATATCCATAAAGGTTCAGGTGAAGTAAGGCACATGGGTCAACAAGCCTTGTGAAGTTCCTTAAGTCTATGTTCTTATGTAGGCTGGGGCAGCGTGTGCTAGTGTCTTCATCTTGATTATGGAATGTTCACAATTGTGAGGAGCTAGCGGGTTGGATAAGCAGGGCTACGCCAATATTAAATCTTCTGTTATCTTTGTTTCTGTGGATTATTTCGTTGATTAGGATATCGCTGGTGATGATCTGGTTGTGTGTATTAGATCTTTCAGGGAGCCTTGTAGTTTGTGCATTTTAAGAGTCTTGAAAGAGATGACAG